TTAGAAACAAATAAACAGTAAATATGCATCCCTCGTGGCAGCTGGCAACATGCCAAATGCCGTAAAAGGGTTGAAGCATCGAATATTACCCATGGTGTATTAATTGCAAATAAGGCGACGTACGATCACAATCGTATTAATGGTGCTCGAGTTTGGTGCATGTGATGATAATTGAAAAATACAATATTCGAACGAATAACTATACTATATTCTTGCTCAAGAACGGATATGAATCCGTCAAAGGGAATGTGAAGACGAACTCAGCCAAGCCTGAATGAGAACAAATAATTTTTGAAAATGGAGGGGACAGACGTTGACAATCTTGTTTACACAACTATCAGTGAACTGGTGTTCCATCATTCATGTCTATTGTTGTCCACGATCTGATATCACCATTATACATATTCTTCACAATTTATCTCATGGCGATATCTAGTAAATTTTTTCTTGGAAAATACCTTCGTTCATTTATTTATTCACCAAAACATCACACACCCGACCTACAGATTTGATGACCATATCGAGGATTTTGTTTATTTCATGTTGTCAAAATTGGCATGTTCGACCTTTTCGCCCACAAAATAGCCTTGATTGCTTTTTTATTTGATATCTATGTTTGTTATGGTTTTCTATCTATGCAATTTAATGAACATTTAATCGGTATTTTGTGTTCGTTGTGGATCAAAACTAATCATCACGTTCCAAATGATCAGCTATATTGCTTTCTTAATTACGATTTTTGTTTTGTTCAGCTTTTCTTAAACATTAGCAAGATTGCTTTTAAAGTACCACACGTTTACTATCTTCGATACACCCTTATAGTATGCACTGTACAAGTGTACCATAAGTAGATTACTGAGTATTTGAAGACTGAATATCCAGGGTTGTCAAACTACCCTCTCGATATATTCTTTTTTTTTTGTTTTTATAAAAATCCATAGGCTAAGATAGGCTAGAGCTTTAGGAGAAAACCATTATTTTCCTGGGGGTGTACAGGTTATAAACTTGGACTCGTGTGCCTATATTTGTTATATTTGTAATCCCGAAAAAATAGCCGTAATTACGTAGTTATGATTGTTGTACACTCCAATGCTTATATGTTTTCTGTTTCCCGACAGTATAACCGTGACACATAGGTCAGTGAATCCTATCATTACCAATCTGATTAAAATCTGATGTAGTGTACGGGCTTTATTTATTTTGGCTATAAACTTATTTTAATTTTATTTTTTTATTACTTTTGTTATTAATGCCCTTTTATTTTATTTTATTATTTTACTTTGATTTTGATTTTGTGATTTTTTTAAATCCGCCCTACCTACATCTGAGCCGATGCCTAAGTAACGAGATTTCAACGAGACCCACTATCGACGATTTTAGTCAACGAATCACAGACCTCTTTCTATAGCGCACATGATGACGTCACCGGGCGGAGTCGGGTGGCAAACACACTCAAATAAAATGGCGGATTATACCGACGTTAGCGACCGAGAATAACACGGCTTTTCGGTAAGTTTATCATTGTCAAATGCAACGAAAGTCATTTTTATGTTAATACATGTATTGTGGCTCGAATGGTTCGACTTTAGATCGTTATTTTGCATAGTTATTCTGGGAGTGACTATTTTGTTTCGACCGAACACCAGTGTCTTTTTCCAGTCACCTGCCCTGGAGACGGGTGATGTTTTGTTGACGATCGGGCCAACATCGTCTACGGTATTGAAGCCGTAGCTGTAAATATTCATCAAATTGTATCAACATTTTTACATTATACAATAACTCTTTATTAAAGTAATTGAGCTGATTTGGACTGGAATAAAATATTTTTTATTGGAACACATCGCAATTGATGCCGTGGGCCGGTGACCGTTATACAATTTAAAATCAGTTTGCATTGTTTACTATAGCTGTTTACAGTATTCTAATCATTACGATATACTTATTTTTTTGCTTACATTCTAGATAATTATGCTCAGTGATGACTGAATGAACAAACCTTGGCTGGCAAAGATGTATCTGGAAGTGTACACATTTGTTGGAAGTGAAAAAAAATATTCAATGTAATGACAAAAATTGTAAAATGCTGAGGAATTTCTTTTGCAAATAAAAATATACTAGCAATTTTCTATTAATGGTTTATTCAAGTGGGCAAAATATAATGTACAGAAAGATTGCCCGTTGAGTATCGCTACACTGAAAAGGAAGCAACCGACAGCCTATATAAAAGGGGGGCTGTGATTGGCTGTTACTTACGCGAGATTTGAACGGGACTTACATAGGCGTCGGATCAGATGTAGGTAGGGCGGAATTAAAAAAAAAAATCACAAAATCAAAGTAAAATAATAAAATAAAAGGGCATTAATAACAAAAGTAATAAAAAATAAAATTAAAATAATTAAAGCCTATACACTACATCAGATTTTAATCAGATTGATACTAATCATGTTTTGTAAGCTGGGAAATTGGATACTTGAACGTGTAGTCCCCGGGCGTGTAGTAGACTAGAATAATCGTACTGTCACATGTTTTCGTCTTAGCCTTGTCTTTTCGTTTTAACAGTCACAGTCCGCTTCATTGAACGTTTAGTTTGATAATTGATGAACATGTATTCATTGTGAGACTGTTGCTTTCAAGTTGTGTTAATAATACAAATATGTTTTAAACTTGTCCCTTCCGTTGCCAACGTATTCAATATATGGAAATAGCATATGTGTGTGCATTTGCGCGAGTGATTGGGGGAAATAACAGCGAAAATTATTTCCAGCTAAAATATAGTATTTTACTGTATACGAATTAGCCTTTGCGATCCCGGAATAAGACACTAGTACTCCTAACCTTAAGTCATAACATCTCAGACTACTATAGTAACATTGACATGCGTGCATCAGTGTTTTGTTTTTTTATTTCATTCAAAAGATTTAGGGACACGAAAAAAACACGCAGAAATATTTTTTCCTTGTTTATATACTCCACACAACGTAATTTGTCAGTCGTAGCGAGTATGTGTGACAGTTTATTACTTCTGTGTGAATATAATTAAATTATGTAATTAAACGATATGAATTTACTCCAATCTATGGGGGGGGGGTCGATCTTCTTAGCAGTGAAACTGGCACGTGAAAATTACAACTCAACCTCGATTTATTCGTCAATAGCATACATACACAGTGGCAGCGGTCGCCCCACGAAGAAAATGTTTGGGGCGTCACCCCTCCAAAATCAAGCGGAAACCCTTTGTGTCAGCAAAATTTCCCCCTAATGCAAGAAATAGCGTTTTAGATTGTCTAGATTTTAAATTTTTGCATGCCCCTGGACCCCCTAGAGGTTGTGAGCAGATCTCGCCCCCGATGTAAAATTTCGTGCCGCCCCATCTGAATTACAGATGTGCCAAAAACGTACAACGTTGCCATAGATCTCGTCGAGTAACAATTTTTAGGGCGGAGGCGTTCTCATTGACCTAATATAAATACGATGTTTACTCTGATGTTCGAACAAATATTGGCCAAATGCTCGGTGTGCTTACTTGTAGTTTCCTGTAGGATTACATGCATAAAATGAAATACGGAGAAAACATATGGTTATGAAATGATGATTCTAAGAAGTATACTGTCAATAAATGTGATATGAATAAACACAAACATACATTATACTATAAACCGTCAAAGGTTATATATAAAGATCCATAAAACGAATGAATCCCGCCCACACATACTGATATTTCTCGAAATTACGTAAATGCATTGTGTGGTGATACTGAACAGCAAATGTTCTATCGAGAACCTTGTGCAGCAAGCGAAATTTCACAGTTACAACTGCAACCCAGTTTTTTTAGTTCACGGCGCAACTTGCAACCGGGGCATGCGTTTCAATGGAATTCAGCTCCCCGTCTACTAAATAGCAAATTACTAGTCAACTACAGAATTGGGTTTTGTCAACCGTCGGAATAAGCTACTTTGGCCAGTAATATATGGGGGAATTTGACACAGGAGACATTCACAGCAATCAAAATTGAAACTGCTTTGCGTGCGGAAGTCGACATTACGAAAACCTCAAAGACAGCATAATTATGATTACTGCAGATGCGAGGCATGGCTGGCGAAAAACTTTCGTGACACTGACGTGATTGCTATTGGCAATGAAACCCACAAATTCATTGCCAATGCAGTTGTTACCAACGAAGACATTCGATTTTGTAACGCCATGAAATGAATGGCGCGCTACAAATCAGCCGTACAAGTATATCGGCATCATGACAATAACAAAGTGAACGTAAAAAAAATCACGCCCATAACAGGAATATGTCTGTCATTAAGTACCTGAGATAAGAGAGGCTGGGGAATGAGAGCCAGAATGATACATGGTTCAACTTTTACTAAAAAAAAAAAGAACCGTGATGGCACTACCAAGTTTGCTGAAAGGCCGGTTATTGACCGTGTCAGCTGTGTCACGATCAACTGTGTAATAATTCCTCCTCACTTCAGTCATCGCATTTAGAGAAGTAATATTCTCTGACGACCTCAGTGAGTTCCCTGGATGTTGGCGAAACGACCATTATTTAGAAATTCCCGCTAACTTTTACAAAGGCCGCATTGCCATCTTGAGCAATGCTTTATCGGAAGCGGCCCGGGACTATGGATTGAATCCTACTTGTTTAGCGGGGTCAGGTAATCGAATGTTGAGGTAATCGCAAGTTAAGCGAACCGAATATCAAGACATTTGGACGTGAAAATAACCAAATCTTATGACAATTGAATGTCAAGATAATGTCTAAATAACAACACAATTGTAACATTATGAAACAATGACAAAATAATATTGTAGCAATTACACAATAATGAAATGAAGTTGGAATAATGAAACAATAGCAATACGATACTGCAGTAATAACACAATAATGGAATAAGCGCTAAACAATGTTCAAATAATGACACAAAGAAACAAAAAATTTCGCTCACACAGTCGCCTTTCCCCTTGTCATAATGGAAACAAATAGTAAAATGTTCATTTGCAGACTAAAAAAATACCTTTTTATTTTATTCAACAACATAATCTATTTACTTGTGGAAAATACAAGTAACTGACACAGGAATCAAATTATACAAGGTTATTATAATCCCATACGGTGACATCTTTTTGTTTGATTCCAGTCGTAACTTAGCAAGACAAGAATGAGCAAACACAAACAATGAAGTGCTTGGACGATTATCAAATGCTACATTGTTGCTGTGTCCATGTAAACAAAGGGCAAATATGATTATTTTTTTTACAGAACTCTAAATGCTATTGTTTTTGTGTTCTTTTCAGAACCTTTCAAGCATAGTAGGTACCATGATAATATTTTAGAAATCTTCAATTACCACATCTTTCCTATACAAATAGTGAAGATAATTGAAGCATTCTCTTGAAGACCACTACATAATAATAATGGACTTTTTGATACATAATATGGAGGGGAAATGAGTTTATGCAAACACAACTGGTTATTGAATAAAATACACAAAATCTTTTATGAAATTGTCATAGTTTTAATATTAGGTACACCCAAAACAAGCAGGAATTGTAATACAATGAACATGATTTCAAATTGTCAAAATACACCAGCTCTTGCCCTTAAGCAGTGCTGTGTATATAAAATAAATTAATATCAATAGCAGTTAAGTTTGCTAGCACAAGTTGGTTAATGCTAAAGGCAAAAGGCATTACAAAACATTAAGGGTCTTGCATTGCCACACAAGCTCAGAAAACAATGTTTTTTTTTGCCAAGTATGAAAAGTAAGAAAAAAATACACAGCAACACACACTGTTCGAACATTTAGTGAAATGTACACTAGTACAATGTAGCAAAAGCTGCCAGGTTTAAACGCCACACAGCAACTTCAAAATTACTTAGCATAGTAACATCATATAGAAATGGTGTATAGTACCGGTAATGGTGTATATCATATAGTAATGGTGTACATCATATAGTAATGGTGTATAGTAATAGTGTACAGTAATGGTGTATATCATATAGTAATGGTGTATAGTACCGGTAATGGTGTATATCATATAGAAATGGTGTATATCATATAGCAATGGTGTACAGTAATGGTGTATATCATATAGTAATGGTGTATAGTAATGGTGTATATCATATAGTAATGGTGTATAGTAATGGTGTACAGTAATGGTGTATATCATATAGTAATGGTGTACAGTAATGGTGTATATCATATAGTAATGGTGTAAAGTAATGGTGTATATCATATAGTAATGGTGTATAGTAATGGTGTTCAGTAATGGTGTACAGTACCGGTAATGGTGTATATCATATAGTAATCATAGTTCAAGTTGCTATTTTGTACTATTCAAATTTTATTTAGGGAAAGGGGGGTCAAGACTGAAACAAAAAAAGTTTTCTGAGCTTCCGTTTCGATGCAAGACCATCCCTAAAGCAGGCAGTGTGTTAAGCACCTTTACTCCTTCAGAAAATAGTTAATAAATGCACCTAGCGTTATATTGTATCAATGCTGCTATTACTACGGATTAGCAAAGAAATGGAGGTTGTTAGATTTTGGATAAATATAGAAATACAGATAGGCAATGTTTTTTTGAGAATTAAAGTCTTGCAAATAATACAGCAGCTTTTAGAAAATATAATGTAGTGATATAACAGTTTTATTAAGAGCTGTGACATCTGGAAACATTCTCTGATTTAAGGAAATTACCACACTATCATGCAAGACTTAGTTTATGAACTTTTCTCACAAGAATTTAACCAAGTGTCCAGTATGCAAGCTTAGACTAACACCAAAAAAGGCTGGTAAAATTTTAATCTGACAGTAATCTGTCTGATGCCAATATGGGTACATATTAAGAGCGGATACTACAGCTCAGTGTGGAACACTGGTTATCTAGTCAGTCTAGTCAACAATTATATTATTAGTCCCATGAAAAGAAATCACAAGCATACCAAATTAAGATCTCGTCATAAGTACTTCGGTATTCAAATGTATCAAGTTTTTTAAGATGGCCAAAAGTAGGGAATCTTGGTGAACATTTACAAACTTACATGTTAAGAATATTTACTGAATTATTGTATGATACAAGAAAGCATATTATAGCGTATTATGTTAGCATAGAAGACAAGTAAGTAAGCAAATTTTACAGGTGTAAAAAAAACACAAAAAAGCCTTTACACCAAATCTTCTTTGTATATATGCCACACACATTTTGCCCACACAAAAATATAAGTAGCAGCAGCAATTCCAGGCAAGTGTTGAAAATCTCCCGATAAAACAAGGCAATAATCGGCAATTGAATGCCAACCAACCCAGTTAGTCTTCGGAGGCAATGTTTCTGAAGAGATAGGACATGGACTCCCCAAAGTGGATACGTCGGATAGCTTCTGCTAAAATTACACTGATGTCAATAGTCTGGATTTTATTACACTGTAGTTTCTGTAGTTCATGTGGAATAGTATTTGTCACTACAACCTAAAACATTGGACACGAGAAAAAAAAGAAAGAGAGCTTCCATTTTAGAACACCTTTAGTCATCCGATGAGATATTTCTGAATAGATATGACATGGACTCTCCCTGATGGATGCGTCGAATGGCTTCTGATATAATTGGGCTTACGTCGATTGTCTGGATTTTGCTACACTGCAGTTTCTGCAGGGCATGCGGAATAGAGTTAGTCACAACAACCTAGGTCATCAGAAAAATAAACATATGATAGCATGGACAGTTTACAACCTAAGCCATGTTCAATGATATGCTACGCAGTGATGAGAATTCTTAATGTTATTTTCATGCATAATATTGTGGTTCATGTTAATTATGGGGATGTGGGTTTCTACCATGCAACCAGGGATATCTTGGCTAATATAATATGATCAAGATAGTAATTCAATGATTTCATGCTGAAGTCCAACTCTGAATTACCCAGATATATATTCAACATTCCTCAGAGTTCAATAAATATTTACTAAATATAAATTGTTTGCCACTGCTGTTAATGCTCAGGCACCATTGATAAATGAAATCTGCATGTATAAAAGCTGCATTTCATCTTCCATCATAATGAAATCAAAATCAATAAATCTGATTATGTGAACTGAATCACTGTACAATGTTTGTGGAACTGCGCATTTCTGCTTGGCAAAGGGGTTGAACTTTGTAATTAAGGGAGTGTGTACGTTTCAATGCAACATACCCAACTATAAAGTAGTTTAATTTATCAAATAGCCAAACCAGGGTCTCCAATAGCATGAGAGGACAGTAAGTAACAAGGTAATTTCAGATTATACTGAGATTACATTAGTATTTTGTGTAACCAGTACCCAGTGAGGAAAGGAAGAGAAATTAAAATCTTGTTATTTCTTGTTCCAAAATGGAGGTGTCTCTTGAAATATTATGGAGGGGTCCAGAGAAGCAGCATATGGGGTTTTACAGAATCCCTGTTTTGAAAATACAAGTTTAGATGTATTCTATAAGATAGGCAGAACATTGAGTTACATGTAACATGCTATTTAGTTCGTTGTTTATAAAAACCTTGAAACAATAAAATTGAACTCTGTGAAATTATACATCAGTAAAACCAATTCTTAAAAATAAAATTAAGATACCTAAAACGGGTGCCGTCAAAACAAATGTTTAGACCTGATTATTATAAAACTTTTTTTATAAACAATCTGAGGAATGTTTTAATAATATGTTACTAACCTCATCAATAACAGACTCTTCTAGTTTCTTTGGTGCATCTGAAGATAATAAACCGTGTGTTGCCATTGCATAGATTTTATACGCACCCCTTTCTTTGAGAATCTCAGCAGCATTTACAAACGATTCAACATCATCTATCATATCATCCTGCAAATGACAATATTTGATTACAGACTGTTTTGCTTGTCAGATGTTACCTTCATGTTGATGTTCTAGTAGTGTGT